ACACACACACACACACACACACACACACACACACACCACACACACACACACACACACACACACACACACACACACACACACACACACACACACACACACACGCACACACACAGTGACACCTACATAAGCAGCAATTTTAAATGATTAACTAACTATGTAAACGAAATAGCGCGAGCGCTAAGTGCATCGGGGAGGCAGGAAGTTCGTAGCAAATTGAACTATAAACTGATGCAGGGAAAATTATCCGCCATTTTTACTCCGCGATCGGGCGCTACTCAAGCTAATGATGAACATTACGAGGCGATGGCATAGCGTGAAATTCGCGCCTGTGATTTATCGATACACTTATTCGAAGGAATTTTTCACTCCAAAATTACAACCCAGAACAATACTTCAAGTTCACTTCGATCCAATCTATACTGTTTATATTGGTCTTTAAAAGGTAACTAGAAGACGCCTCTATGTCGACATTATAGAAATTGAAAATTAGGAAATATCCTAAACATTCGCCCTATACGACAGTTGTATATGATAGGTACGATAGCTCTATACAGTTTCTTCGTTCTTCGTAGATCATGATAATACGAGGGTATTACTGTAGGTACCACACACACACGGACGCACGTACGCACACACGTTATTTTTCCCCCTTTTTTCGTTGTTGTTTTTTGATTAGATGACCTCGGAGGTCAAATCCAATGTGCCCATGACATTCAGCATCAAAATTTACCCCTACTGAACGTCATTGGACATGTCTGTAGTGCTCCATATGGATTTGCATTGAGAACAACAGACAAACAAACAGACATACATTCACAAATATATATTATATTATATATATACGCATGCATATACACGTAATGTATATAGAGTGCACGCTGTAGTGTATTTCCCTATTTTGCTAGCATGTAATCATCCATATATTGTCTGTGTATGTGTACATGCATGCGCATGTTCATGCGTATGTATGTTAACACACGCGCACGCATATCGGCAAAGAGACGTGCGCACCACTTTACATATATTGCTCCATGTTTCGTATAATTCCTGTAATGGTTGGTAATTATTTTCTGCCATTGCGTGCAGACGTGAATTAGAGCGCTGGTGAGATCCTTTTCCATAGCATCCACTGGCCCAAGCCAGCACGTGTGTATAGGCCACTATGACGAATCAACCACAGTCACGCTGCTAGCAGCCGCATG